GATGGCGGAAGAACTGAGCGTCAGCTCACGTGCGGTTTCTGAAGGTTTAAAAAGTATTGGAAAGATAAAAAACTCGAACAGTGGGTGCCCCACGATTTAAATGATCGACTGAAATGATTTCGTTTCGAGGTTTGTTCTTCTATGCACAACAATATGGTTACTGTGTGGTGGTTAATGGCGGGTGTGATTCACTATAACTTTCTGCAACCGGCCCAAATAATCACAACAGAGTCCTATTGTAAGGAACTCTACGAAATGTACCGAAAATTCAGTCAACAGCAGCCGGCACTACTTCACGACAACGCCCGTCCTCACGTTTCACAAATCACCATTCAAAAATAAACGAATTGAGCGTCGACGTTCTGGCTTACCTCTCGACAACCGACCATTATTTTTAAAAGCACTTCGATAATTTTGTCACAGGTAGAACCCTCGCCAATTAGGGCCAGCCAAAAAAAATCTTCGTCGACTTCACTGAATCCCGAATTAATCAACTTGTGTTGCGTTGGCAAAAGTGCACTGATTCAAGTAACTCCTATTTAGATCAAATTGAATAAGTATTCACTGACATATTACAGTTTTAGACTCATAAAAACGGATAAATCTTTGGAAACAACTTAATATAATTCCAGTGGAATCAAAAATTGTGAAAATAAATTGGGTTGAATTTCAGTTTTTTTTTGTCGTGCTTTGAAAATGTTACTTCAATTATTTCAACAAAAGAAAAAGGCAAATGGCAAATGAAAGGGATTTTCTAAATTAGCTGAACCAGTAGATAAATATTTCATGTTAGTAACTGATAGTCTATTCCTCAAAAAATCCAATCAATGTTGGGTTTCTTTGAACTTCTCCGGTTTATGAAAGAAACAACAGATATATAGGCATTTTATACTATTTCTAGAGCCCGAGCTTCAGTTATGTCACCAACCAATGGGGAATAGCTAAAGAATGAATGAACAATCTTCTTGATGCTCCTCCGGTCTTGCATTAGTGTTACTTCCATGTCTTACTCAGGCACAAATAACCACACCATACTGTGTTGAATTGTTGCTGACGCTCATAGTTATATGTGATATTATTGGTAGATTTCAATTACGAAATCTCTTGTCCGTTAAAGGTGACGTTTCCTTCCGGGTGTACCATCCTCCGGGTGAACAGTATTGCCCGACTCTTGTCAGGGTTTATACTGATCTTCCACAGGTTGGCCCATTTCTCTAATGTGTCTGCTTGTTGCTGCAAGTATGTAGTGATGTGTGCTTAGCTTGTTGATCTCGCCAACAGAGCTGTGTGTAGAGTGCCAATTTGTTAAAGTTGTTCTCTGGCTTGGACATGTCTGCTGTATACATCGAGAAGACGTGTGGCAAGAGGAATGCACCTTGTTTAAAAAAAATCTGTTTTTCCGTTTTCCAGCTGTCGCACCCCTACGAATGAAAACCCTCACAAGTCGAAACTTGTGCGAGCTAAGGATTAACTAGGTCTTACCTTTTAACTTGTGATTCCTGCTTCCAGTAATCGCATGGAATGCCCAAATGATGCGCGAGGCTCCAGAATGTCCTAATGATGCGCGAGGCTCTATATTCAGACGTTTTGCGTGGCGAGCGTGTGTAAGTTCAGTAGGCGGTGTAAGTTCCGCCTACTGAACTTTGATGCGATTTATTCATTTCTTTGGACGTTGGTAACAGATTTGATTTTGTTTGTTCTGGATAATCAGTCGGTTCACTCCTTCTGCAATGACCTTCCCAGTACTGACAAGGAGCAAAGTACCGATCTATCGGTGGTCGTCCCGACCACATGAAATTAATTTCTGCTTTTCATATATCAATCAATCAAAATATGCTTTATTACCCAAGATATAAACATCTTATTGGCGAAGTCTAGTAAAGTAAAACATGTATAAGGGACAATTAACAAATATAAACTATAAAATAATGCTTAAACACCGGAGCAGAGTATACGGACAGAACAATATTAAGTCCAGCTGAACAGCTACAAATATAAGTACATGAATTTAAGAATATTAAGTAAACGTAAATATATAATTCTACATAATGAACATTGATAGCCATTTTGTGTTGGTTTCAATAACTTGTTTACACAAAGCTACATGTCAATTATTTCCATATTGAAACGAAATTTTCCACAATTTCCCCAGAAACAAATTCCATAGCGTAAATAGGATTCAATTTGTGCAAAATAAACTGATCTTGTGATAGTAGTGTCCAACTCTCTTGCAACAACTCTTACTGCATGACATCCTGCTGCTAGTCTTTTACATAAGTAGTCGACATGGAAATCAAATTTTAGATTTTCATCAATGAAGAGCCCTAAAAATTTGTTTTTCTCCAAATTTTCAATTTTTACATTTTCCAAGTGTACTTTCCCTATGTTACATCTAAACGTGATCACCTTTGTTTTATCGATGTTCAATGATAAGAGATTGGAATCACACCACTCTTTAACCGTTCTTATGTCGATGATGATTTGACCAAGTAAATTGGAGGATGTATTGCTATGCCAGAAGATAGTGGTGTCGTCAGCGAAACATGTGAATTTACCACTTATGTTAACATGGACCAAGTCATTGACATAAATTAGAAACAACACCGGTCCCAAAACGGAACCTTGTGGAACCCCACTGTCAATGAAGCGTTCCTCTGATGAAATTCCATCTAATAGAACATTCTGCCGCCGATGAGAAAGGTACGTCTCAAACGTACGTACGTAGAAGTTACTTGCGACGAGTCTTCCAAATGTAACACATTGTACAAATGCCTGATGGTTTTACTTCAGCTTTCTGGGTGGTATTAGCTGGGTTAGTTGTTGTTTTTCTGTTGTGTATCAGCCACACATACCTACAAAGTCGTAGGTTCACATGAGAGGCAAGGGTTTGGTGTTTTCACCTGAACTGGATACCTATACTAAAGAAGGAAATAAATACTAGGGAATAATTTATTGTACACTTATTAAGAACTACATAATTTGACGACTATAAGTTTGTAATACATTATAACAGTATCATTCAACAACATTAATACAAAGAAAAACTTTTAGGCCTTTATCATAACAACCACATATCATTGCTAACTCTCAACTCCACTATACTTACAATATTTTGCATTGATATTCTCGTTTATTATATAAAAATATTGTTCGCGATACTGAAGATGATCTTACAATCACAGTAAAAATGTCGCAAAAAAGTTGTATTGCAAAAAGTTACATATAGGGTGAGTAATCTATTTCGGATCAGACCAAATCTTCAAATAAAATGAATAGTAACTATTGTTTGAGTGGAAACCTAAAGAATTTTTCATGATAAAAAAAGTTTTTTGCACATGATAAATAATGCTCTGCAATAGATATGTTCTTATCCGAAATAAGTGACACATTGGATGTGATAATCTGGAAAAACGTTAATATCATAAATTTTTCAAAACATTTTGAATATTAGATTATTCATTTCTGAGTTGGAAATGTTTGCATTAGGGAAGTGGAATTGATATTATCAGATAAGATCAGTGAACAACTAGTTGAAAATATATCTCCTAGTCCTCACAACCCCATAACACATTGTATAATATTTATCGAACAGGAATTACATAGATCACTTTGGTGAATGTGAAACATTAAGATTTTATTAATATTTGAATCAATCTTATAACTACTACAGAGATGTACAACAAGGTCAGCATTACAAAGAAAATAAGTGATAATCACAGATATAATGTAGTTATTGATACATCTATATTCGCAAAATGCCAGTTAACTAGCATTCCATTACGTTTTTGATATTTTTTATGTGTGCGTGACTTGACTTATCCTCAACAAGAATCACAAAGAAACGTTCATGGATGAATATTTCAGCTCTCAAAATTCAGCTTTTGATAAAGATTCAGAATCTCGATTGTACTTTTTAGATTATTAAATATGTAATAACTTGATAACAGCTTCCATAACATGATGTCCAATCTTACAATAAATTGTTGTGAACACACATTCCAAAGTGAGCCTTCGAAGATGTGAGTGATCAACTACGTTCTTTTTAAGTTAGATATATCAGTTGCCATAAACATTTTAAATAAAAACATCAGAAGTTATTCAAAATAAACTTCCAATAAAATATTCTAGGAGCAGATATATATTTGGTCGTTGTAATCATCTATTTGTCTGAAATTCATCAGCAATCATGAATGAAAGCAATATGAAAAATATGTTGGGAAAGAAAAGTTTTGCCTTTCTACTTCTCCATCTATATACAAAAAATGTGGGAATCTTCCAAAGAAAGAAAAAAGTAATCAATTTCAAAATTAACTCCATACACAGATCATGCAAAGAATTGACTATCAGACACAAACTGGAAGAAGAAAACCTCTTGAAACAACTACTGTCACACAAACATTAAATTACATGACAGAAAATTACTTTCCGAACAACTACTTTCATACGTGCATTGGATTATATAAGAAACACTTTTTCTTATTCAGCTTGTACCACAAACATTCGTTATGGAACGAATCAGATATCATTCACAGGATTGCTACACAATATAGTATATGAAAGAGGTAACATTTCACTTACATGGAACACTGTCATCCTCAATGGCGGACATCGATGTTTCGGAATAAAACACTTGTCTTTTTGCCTCTTCAGCACCAACCTGGATAGCATTGGTGTTGAAGAGGAAATATGGCAAGTGTCTCATTGCGAAACATCGGATGTCTACCATTAAGAATGAGTGTTTTGTGTAGGTGAAATTTCACCTCTTTCATATACGACATTGTGTAGCAATTCTGATTCAATTACATAACGAATGTTTAGAGTACAAACTGAATAGAAAAAATTGTTTTGTATAAATCAATGTTTATAAGAAAGTAGTTGTTCCGATAGGTTTTTTTTCCATTTCATGTCTGAAAGTTATTTCTTTGCATGGTTCTCACATCTATGTATAGGATTAATTTTGAAATTGATTGTTTTCATCCTTCCTTCGGAAGATTTCCACATTTTTTTTGTATGAAAATAGAGAAGCAGAAGGCCAAAACCTTTCGTTCTCAAAAATTAATTGCTATCAATGATATACCATTTCGATTGAAAAATATGCTCTTCTGAGAGCCTTTTTGTCAAGTTAATTTTAGTTAAATTTCCCCCATATCAACTTGTGATCTGAAACAATGGAGTAAACCAGACAATTAAAACTTTTTAACTTGGAAAAAAATACATACGAGTCATCAGAATAGCAAATACTTGAAAAGATGAAAAAAAAAACAAATAAAGTAATATGATAATTTTGCAAATGTTTCTCCCTCTCTCTCTCTGACAATCATGGTAATAAAGTGGCTTGTAATAATCCATACTGAAAATATTCTTTCAAGTACAAGTACAAGTATATATGAAATAACAAAATCATCAAAATCAAATTTGAATGTTGGAAGAACTCGACTTACATCGTTACTCTTGTGTTGATCCAACTTGTAGCTTACTATAGAAAAATTTATCTTTCAGGATATTTACAAATTGCGATCAAGCTATTTTCCAACTTTCAACAGAGTCGGATACCACTCAAATACCGTCTTTGGTGAAACTCAAAAATCATACAGAAAGGATATCATACAAGATATCTCAAGTAACAAAAAATATTTACTAAGTTGTAATGCACTATCATTTTTTCACTGCTGTCAAGGAAATTTCATGATCAACGCGAAGAACTGATATGGAATGGTTAGAAATTTGACTTTTCTTTGAAAAATGAGTCACTCAAAAAAAATTTCAATAGGGGATGAACCAAAAAAGACATCATAATTGAAAATGAGCAAGTTTCAAGTATGTTTGGAGTACACAAATTATGAACGAGGAATAAAAGTAGAATTTCGAAGAGAACCAAGATATATTATGTTATATTTGTGATTTATAGATTTCAGGGCCGGCTTTTGAAGTGTGTCAATTCTGGCCAACTGATATAACGGGGCTTATTAAATTTTTCGGCACTCAGTCGTCAAAGTTTTGGCATCAGCCTATTATCAATCAGAGATAAGTGTATTTGGATAAAAATATCATACAAATAAGCAATACTATCACTTTTAGAATTGATAAACTGACAAAGCACCAATCTGCCTTCACCTGATATAAATGAAAGATATTTTTCAAAAACCTTCTTAACATAAATTTAAATGTAAATCATCTTTTTGAACGCTTATCTCAGATGACTATGATGTACTCTGCCTTGGGTTCTACATGCAACCGCGTTTGAATAGATAAGTTTCTTCGAAAATTAACCTCTTCAGTTCATCTTTTGGTAAATCGTCCAATTCTGTGTCGAATCTGAACGGTGTTTCCGCTACAGGCTGAAATGGAAATGGAATTCGAATTATTCTAAATCGACAGATGAAACCTTTAAGATGGCGACTGGGCGCCATCTGGGAAAAAATTGAATGAAAAGGGCGGTCTTGTGACACATCACTTTGAAGCTCCTGACGAATACTTCACAACCGTAGAATATGAAGTCAATATCTTCAACTACTACAAAATGGCGTAACTTTTAATGTTCGAAATAGTTGCTATGAACTTCTTGAGATATGAACCGCCTATCCGATATTTCACGTTGAACATTTTCGAACACAGTAACGTCAATATCTCTACAAATATTTATTATTCTCTATCGTATATCCAATATCCAAGAAGGTTCAGTTTCATATACCTTTTGCTTCAAATAGCCCCATAAAAAAAGTCCAAAGGTGTCAAATCTGGCGGGCAGGCTGGCCATTCTGTAGGAACTCGACGGACAATCCAATGACTAGGAAAAGTCCCAGATAGCACAGGACGTTTTAAAGACGTCCATTGCATGTCCATTTATTGTCTGAATGTCCAGGACCAAGTCTGGACGTTTTAAGTATGTCCAGTTTAGTAAATCATCGGGACGTCCAGAAATATATGTCCCCAAAACGTCCATTCTATATTATTTAGACACCGCCTACATTAGATATCTATAATAATTTAATACAGATTGAATTTTCATATTGATCATCTGCCATTCATTTAGAATAAGCAATTTGAATTATTTTCAGGTTCTGCTGAGAAGGCAAACATGGCCAAATCACGACAGGAAACGGAACTGTCAATTCAGGCATGGCTAAAAACGGCGAAGGAAAGGAAGGACGTGAAATCTACGAAAAAGTTTTAATATAATCATTTATTTTATGTTATTTTCAATGGATGTTTCAAATGAAAGATTTTGAAATATTCAATATTTTCTTAATTTTCTCGAGGCAATCTGACCTAGTAAATGAAAAATAAATAATTTTTAGCCTACAGAAACGCATGACAGAAACAAATAGAACATCCTGTGAATATCTTTTTGAGCTTCTCAAATGGACGTCCTAAAGACATCCTGTAAATGTCCATTTGAAGACCTGTAATGTCCTATTATGGACGTCCTAAAGATATCCTGATCATCCGGATTGTAATCCGTTACAAAGACGTATATAAGATGTCCACGTCCGTAAAATGGACGTTTTGAGGATGTCCTGAATGTCCAAGCGGGACGTTTTAAAGACGTCCATAAGACGTATTTGTGCTATCTGGGGTAGTATCCAAATAGTTTCTTACTTGTCTGGAGTAATGTGGTGGTACTCCATCTTGTTGGAATACAATATCCATATCGAATTAATTAGAATTCTCTTCGAAGATTTCAGTGATGAGAGGGTCAACAGAAGTTTCCAGCATATTCAAATACAGTTCCCCTGTTAAATTTTGATCAATAAATAGAGATCCTACAATATTGTTTCCCCAAATTCCTGCCCAAACGTTAATTTTTTCTGGACATTGAGTATGTGTTTCCCGGAAAATATGAGGGTTGGTGTCACTCCAATAACGGCAATTGTCTGTGAACATTGCCTTTTTTTTAAAAAGAGGTACATTAGTCAGTAAAAAAAATATCGTGGAGATAGGTAGGATGCCTTGCAATGGTTTCCGTCATGATTTCGCAGAAATCTGTTCTTCGATTAGGGTCATCTTCAGTTAATTGGTGTACCATTTTAATTTTGTATTTTCATCAAATACCCCAGTCAGGAAGGGGTACACAAGGCCAGAACGGCATAGATGTCATTGACCTTTATGCCGTCACCAAAACACTCTACGTCATGAACTACTCGTCCTCCTGACGAAAGACAGTTGAAAGGGTAAGGGAAAAGTTTCCAACCTGAAAAAGATGAAGATGACTATCGGCCCCCTTCCATTCATTTTTTTCCCCGGATGGCGCCCAGTCGCCATCTTGAAAGTTTCATCTGTCGATTTCACTTCAAAATAAAGTATTCATGCATTAATTTCAATCATCCCAAATTTCAATTTTTGAGTTGACCCGTTCAAAAAATAAAAGGAAGGGGGACATTAAAGAAATGCACTGTATATTGTAATACTCGGCTGACTTAATTTATTATTAGTGGCTATAAAAGTCGATGAAAAAACCAATAAAGTTGATGATGAAATCTAATGAAAAATTGGTTTATATCAGATTATAAACAACTTCAGAATTTTGTTATGAAAGTGTATGAGGTCAACTGCTTTGAAAGACGTCAACATACACAAACTTGTTAAATAAGCTAGCTCAGTACTAAATTATGAAAATTAACTGTCGCAGAAATATTTTTGCCTTTACTTTATGAAGGTTCCATTTTATCCTATGGTTTAATGTAGATACAAAGTCTTTTCGTTACCTCATCAGCTGGATCATAATACTGTTCAAGATATGGATGCGCCAAAGCATCCTCAACTCCTATCCTCTTGTGTGGATTGAAAGTCAACATTTTATCTAATAAATCTAAAGCCTTCGGATCGGCGTTTGGATATAACTTAGCCCAGGGAACTTTCGGTTTGAAAGGAAGCGACTGCAGGTAACTTCTTGCCTGAAAAACGGAAAAAACAAAATTGTGAGACTTGTCAAGTTATCGTTGAGGTCTTGCAATTCATTGTCTTTATCAGGGGCAGAAGGGCTGACGAAAAACTTTATTTTTATTGAGTTTGTAGAAAGTGATAAGAGTTGCAGAAAGTGATATAAAGGTTGGGTGAAAAGTTTTTAGGCTAACATAGAGGGCGGTACAACAATTATAGCGGTCATACAATTTTTCGATATCATTTTCATAGTACAATTTATCTTTAACCTCAAAGCAGCCCTCAGTTTCGACAATTACCTCTTTTCCAGCGCTAAACTTCTTACCAGCGAGCATTCTCTTGAGGTCTAAGAATAGGAAAAAGTCATTGAGGGCCAGATCTGGAGAATATGGTGGATACGGAGGCAATTTGAACATTCATGCATTTTTGCCATCGTTTTCATTTATTTGTGACACAGTACATTATCTTGAAGAAACGGCAACCTTTTTTCTTCAAACGGGGCCGTTTTTCGCGATTTTGTCCTTCAAACGCTCCAATAACGCTATATCATAGTAGCTGTTGACTATTTTTCCTTTTCAAGATAGGCGATGAATGTTATACTATGCATATCCCAAGATACTAATACCATAACCTTGCCAGCCGACTATTTCTTTGGAGTCGGTTTACCACGTGCAATCCTCTCAGATGACGATCATTTTGATTCTGGTGTGAAATGGGGGAACTATGTTTCATCCATTGTCACATATCGACGCATAAATTCAGGTTTTTTATGGTTGAACAGCTTCACATTAAACAGAGCTTTCGCATACCCAAATATTCATGTACGACATGTCCAACACGTTTGTTTGATATCTTCAGAACCTCAGCTATCTCGATGGCGGGTTGGCTGTCCTTGTTCATCTTTCCCTGCCTGAAGCACTGTGCATGCTGTTTTTGACGAGTGAAGTGGCTTGGGATGTGGGAGTTGAGCAAGCCGGCCATCGGATGCCTGCTTCCACGTAGCCCCGATGGATACGGGAAAGACAGAATCACTTGTGGTTCTGTTATTTCTTAACTGAATCCTTGACTTGATCCTAAGGTGTGTGTATCCGTGCCGAGAAGATGAATGATACTGAGCCTATCAGCTGTCTCTACGGAACCTTCGAGATACCGGGCGTCCTCTCGTCGTAGCATCGCCTTGTCACGGTAATGCGGGGCTCTGCCGTGATTGACCTTCTTTCCATAGCTACTCGTGGGACTTTTATGGACAGAGTAAACTTGAAAATTCTTTCTGACGCTGAGTCTAGAGAGGAGATGGATGTCGAGCTTTCGACTCCAACTCACCTCCCTGTAAACTTACATCAGGAGCGAGAGCTTCTCAACTCTCCAACTCCTGATCCAATAACTGAACCTAAAAAAAGTTTGGTGGGGTGTTGAGTTTTAGTTTATTG